TCTTCAAACTTCTCTCTTATCACTTGTATTCCTACCTTGCTTGGTGATATTGCTTTGTTCATTGTTGGTTTCCTGACTGGTGCTTTTGATGAAGATGACGCCCCTGTTTCTTCCTGTGCTGTTTCTGCTTCATCTACATTGGGTGTCTTGTTGTCTTTGTGGATGTTGATTGTTGCTCCTAATGCTTGTGGTTGGGGTTGCTTTCCTCTTACTCTTCTTGCTTTGGGCGGTTTGGTGGTTGTGGATGGGTCTTCCTGAAATTCTCTCTTCTCCTGCGTTGGCGGTTTTGGTTTCTGTCTCTTTGCTTTGGACTGTCTCACGCTTAAGGGTTTCCTCTTTTCTGCTGTTGGTATTGCTGTTGTATCCATTGCTTCTGCGGTGTTGGGCACTACATCTACGTTCATCTTTGATTTTTCCTCCTTTAACTTCTTTTGGTGATTTACCTTTTTGACTTGTTTGTTGATTAGTTTTTGTGTTGGTTTTATCTTGGACGGTTTCTCTTCCTCGTCTTCGTCGGGTATGATGGCGTCTGTCAGTTTTGATGCTATTAGTCCTCCTATTGGCCTTTGCTGTTCCTCCTGCTGTGGCGACTGCTTTGATGACTGGTTTGGATGATTTAAGGAAGTTCTTTAAGATGCTTCTACTGCTTGAAGGTGGTTCTTCGTCTTCTTGTATCCCTGCCGATGCTGTTGCTCCGACGGCGTCGTATGCCCCTTTGTTTGCCATATAGTGGTCTTGTGAATGACTTAAATTTGCTTGTTCTGCTACTCTCCTTTCGTTCTCTTCCCTCAACTCTGCCTCTCTGTCAAAGGACATCTCAAAGTCGCTGATGGCGTCGTCCCTCAAGTCGGTCATATCTTCAAAGTCAAGGTTGGGTGTTTCTTCTTCCTTCCTTGCGGTCGCTTCCTCTGCCATCTTTTTGAAGTTCATTTGCTGTAAGTCTGCTGGGTGGATGTTGTTTGTGTTCAGTGCTTGACCCTGCGGACTTTCGTGAAAATACCAAGCGTTCCTATCAAAGATTTTTCTGATGTCATTGGTTTTGAACTTTTCCCTGTCTATTTCCTTGATGAGTTCTGCGTAAGTGGGTATTCGTGTCAATCCCTGTTTTGCGTTGATTACTTCTGCTGTCATTGCTATATATTAATACTTTAGATTTTTATATTAATCTTGTGTATCGCCTCTCAACCACTGCTTATACTCATCAATTCTCTGTTTCATATTCTGGACGTTCGCCCCGTAATCTTCCAATCTGTGATTTTTCCTCACCTCCCTCAACCTTGTCATTTCGTTCTGTAGCATCTCATTCTCTTCCTTCATCCTCTGCTTTACTTGTAAGACCTTGTAGTCGTGCTCGGTGTTGTGATATTCAAGAAGACGCTTTAGGTAAAGATGATGGTTGTGAGTTGGCATCCTTGCCGTGTTGCTGTCGTTGTGGTAGTAGTGGTCATAACTACTATACACTTTTTTTCTTCTGTCTGGCATTTCGGGCGTTCCGCTCCTGTAGTTGGCACTTTTGTTTGAATGGACGGTTTGTCTTCTGTTGATGTCCTTGCGGACGTTTTCGTAGATGTCAGTTTTGTTGAGTTCCGTTTTCTGTTCCTTGATGTTCATTTTTATATATAATACTTTATAAAATTTTTGATGCTAAAGATTTCAATTTCTCTCTCGTCGCTTTGTTCTTTTCCTCTTTGGCTTTGTTGTAGGTGTCTCTGGCGGTCATTGCACTCTGTAGTTCTTCCTTCAGTTGCTTTACAAGGTCGTTTTTGAATGCTTCTGGGTCAAAAGGTGGTTTCGCCCTTGACGGTCTTACCCTTTTGGGCTTTGGCGCTGGTTGCGGTTTCTTTTCAACGGGTGGTTCAATTGTTTCTTCTGGTTTCTCCTCTTCTTTCGGTGCTTCCCGATAGGAAGCAGGGCTTTGCCGTGCTTCTTTCTGTATTGGTTCTGGTATTGTTTCTTCCTTGGGTTCTTCATTATCAATCTCTTTTACGACTACCTCTGTCATATATTAATATTATAGATAATTTTTTATACTTTCAAAATCTCGTGCCTCAAATACGGTTTGTTCAATCCTTCCAGTTTGAAGGTTCTGTTTCCGACATCATCGTATTCTATCTTGACAATTTTGTAGGATTGATTGCTCCATTTTGAGTTATACTCCTTCCTCTCGGTGTAGTTGTCTTTTTTCTTCTCAAAGACCTTGACCATATCATTCACTTTGACCTCTGGATATTTGCGAGTGTTCTTTTCCCTCCTTGTCAAATTCACCCTGACGTCCATATGGTTCTTGTCGTCGTGGGCATCCTTGGGTTTCATTTTGGTGGATGAATGGACGGTGTCGTTGTATTTATCTAACGCTTTGGACAACATTACAGTCCAACTACCGCGATTAAACCTCACCCTGTCGTGTATCATATTCTTCATTGTCCTTATGAAACGCTCCACAACATTGGCGTGAGTTAGGGTGACGACGTGAGTGATGCCTTCTTTCTCAAAGAACTCTTTTACCCCTGCTTGGAAGGCACGGTCATTATCACTATAAACGGACATTGGAAAACCCATTTTGTTGAAACTCTCTCTTATCGCCGACAATGTGATTGGTCCGGATTTTTCTTTCATAGGGACGACGTTTGCCAACTTGCTGAAGATGTCAATGACCACCAACCCATATCTCGGTTCATCGTTCTTGATGGGAATTTTCGTCTCTGGTTCTTTGGTAAGGGGTTTCATATCCATTATGTCAATCTGATATTCAAACCTTGCGAAGGGTGCGGTGTAGGAGTTTGACCCCCTGTATTTTCTAATCTGTTTGTTGGGCTGTTTCCTCATAAAGTTTTCCACATCCACCCTGTTGATGGTCTGGTCTTGCTCCTTGGCTTTCTTAAGGGTCTCATTGATTGAACCGAAGCCCGTTTCAAGATTATAATAGACATTGCTTATGATGTCATCTCTTGATAGTCTCCTTGCCATATATTGTAATATTAGATTTTTAAAATTATCAACAATAAAAAATATACTTAAAGAAAAAATACCTATATATATATAGTAAGACTAAATAAGATGACTAAATTTGACTGTGGATGTCGTATAATGACAGATGTTATAACCCTGAACGATAGAAACCAACCTAATTGGAACTACTTGCTCAAAACCTTCGTGAATGTGTGTGGCAAGTGCTACAAGAAGCAAATGAAATTCCAATATATGGAAAACAAACTTATGGAAATGGAAAAGCAAAGAATGGAAATGTTTTTGGAAAATGAGGATGAGGAGGAAGACACATACTTTGACCTGACAGAGTTGAAGGAACATCTCAAAACCCTCCCACCCAATGAAAGACATAAAGTGAAGGATTTTGAGAGGTTAAGAAACCTCGCCAATGGACAAGACCCCAACGAAGGAATGAGTGAAATAGATATGGTCATAAGAGAACTGGAAGAGGAGGAAAGGGAAAATAAAAACCAACCCGAGCCCGAAAACTGAACGAACCCCCCAAAAACTACTTAAAGAAAAATTACCTATATATAGTAAGAGGATGCTATTTACCTATAAAAACTGTGGATGTTGTAAAAAAGAAATGACTGACATTAAGGTTTTATTGAACAACATTTTTCCTGCTGGAATTTGTGATGAGATATGTGATTACAACCTTCACTGTTCAAAATGTAAAGAGTTGAATGATAAGGAACGCAGATATATAACATTCAACTATCATTTTGACCATTTTGAAGAGAAAGAACTAACAAGAATTGAAAAACAAATACATTTCTTTAAAACAAGGATGGAAAAATCACCTATCTATTTATCCAACACCGACCGAACAAATGTAAGAGTAATGAAGAGAGAAATAGACGCTTTAATGGACACCTATAAACTGAAGGTAGAATTTCAAAAAGATAAGATATATCTTCAAGCGATTAAGTCTTATGTCAAAAACCATTGGAAATACACTTATCATATTCTAAAGAACTTTCACGACCTTAATTTCATCAATTACAGTAAGCAACGAAGATGCTGGTGGTTTCCTAATGTTGAACGAACTTTTATGTTTAGAAACAGGGAGTTCAAGATAAAAGACATTTTGGAAATTTTCTTGCGTGAATATGTTGAAGAACTGTTCAACGGTTATGAGAAATATTTGAACATAGAAGAAATAAAAGAGCACCTACAAAAAGCGATAAATACTTAAAGAAAAAATATCTATATATAGTAAGAGAAAATGAGTAGAGCAAAAATTGAGGTTATAGATACAGGGAATATTGGTATATATGCTGACTTTGGTAGTGATAGTGAGGACGATGATTGGGAAAGAAAACAAATAGAAAAAAAGATGAAGAGATTAGAGACTTTGTAAAGTGCCATCCTATGCCTTCACCAGATGATGAGGAAGGAGAAAAGTTTTGGAAGAAGTAATTGATAGGATGAAATCAGGGGAAGGGGTAAAGGATATGACGATATATATGTTTGTAAATTTTGACATTATGAAAAAAATGTATGAAAACCTGACTGATAAAAAAGTCATCATTGATTGTGGAAAGGAACTCAACCGTGATGGTGAATTCAACGCAATGATTATTAACATAACTCTTTTATCAATAGCGATGGATGAACTGAATGATACAAACAAACCCTGCTTAACACAAATGAGAGTGATTGAACACTGGTGGGATGGAATAGGAAAGTGGAAAGCATAAATGATTAATTCATAATATCTTAACAACACATATTATGAAGTAATCACCCACCCAAACACAAACAAAAACCCCAACAGCCTAAACAAATCCTACCCCCATTCAATCCAAACATTGACACATCACTTTAGCAACAAAATTACCCCCAAAACCCCACCTGAAAAAACATCAAAGGCGAAGATGAAACATTGAACCCCAACACAAAATCATAACAAGCAACATACAAACATATACGCCCTGAAACCCCCATTTTTCCATTTTTTTCCCATGTATTTTCCCAATGAGTCCTCTTGTTTTCCCACAAATTTTTAGGCCTCTGGAGCGGGTCACAAAGACATCGTCGCTGCCTTGCGGCTCTCGAAAGCCAACGTGGATGCGGTGGACGAGTACGGCAATACGGTGCCATCCGGATGGGAGGATGAACACCATGGTTTACCCTGGTATAGATGACCCATTTATAGATGGTTTACCTATTAAAAATGGTGATTTTATGGTGGTTTAATGGGATCTAATGGGACTTAATAGGATTTACCCTCTGGTTATGACTAACGTAGCCATGGTATAGACGGCCCTAATCGAAATAGATGGTTTACCTAGCTATAAAATGGGTGGATTTTCCATGGCAAGCTGTTAAATAACCAGATGGTACATTTTCCCTGTTCGTAGAAAAAAAACAAACCTTGAACTTCAATGGTTTTGTATTGGATTGAACCAATGATTTTGGGGTCCCAGATGAATGGGGTTTATTCATGTTTATTCAATATGAATGGGGGACAGATTTTGGATTCCCAATGGGACACCATGGATCCCATGTAACTTGACTAACGCACGACCTTGGCACATGCCACGATCTGAGACAAGGATATACCCAGTGTATCAATCTATCCCTTATAATTCCGAGTATTTCCCACATGGATTCCGATACAATTCCGAATATTTCCCACATATATTGCTAAATATTTGGGTTTGTCACTTCTCCACATGTTGCTTGGTTCCACTCCAAAGGGTGTATTAATTGATTCCACATCCAGATGATCAACTCAGACCTACCACTATGCTGAAAAGATGAAATTTGAAACTAGGAGCCATGGGAAGTAAGTGAGATCATATCAGTTGATACCCTTCGGTAATTCATGTGGCAATTGAACATCTCATGTTTTAAACCGTGGCATTTTTAATCAGGGAAAATCCATGGAAAATCATGGTGGATTTCCAGTAAGCCATGTTACTGGAGGCTATTCCAGTTGTATACTTAAACTGGTTGGTGGTTTCAAACATCCCAGTGGTTAATAGTGGTTAATAATGGTTAATAGTGGTTAATAATGGTTAATGAGATATCTGGTTGGTGGTTTCAAACATGGCTTTTATTTTCCAAAAATATATATGGGATGTCATCCTTCCCATTGACTAACTCCATCATTTTTCAAGATGGTTATTGCACCACCAACCAGTAAAGGCTTGTCCCCCAATTCTTGCTTGCCGAATCCACCAGTTGTCCTCCCGCGACGATGAACAGAGAGGGGGTCAAGTTCATGTAACCAACGGCATAGCAAACCGACCCTTCGATTTCCGTCGGACAGGAAATCCAAAAAAATAAATCCAATCATAAGTCTTCAGTACTTTTCGAAGTTGTTTTTTGGTTTGTGTATAACCCCCTAAACCTAGTTAAGAATATTATATAATATTATATAATCGTTTTCCTATGTTTTCCTACTGTTTAAAACATAAATCCAAAGTTGCTGCCAGAGAAGTAGCCTCGATTTCAACATCTCCAGAACTGGCGACCCCGGATGGAAAAAAAACGTCCGGTGTTTTGGACATCTCTTGCCATGGATAGGAATATATTTCACTTCTCCAGCGAAATTCTTATTGGACCTAAATTCAAATTCATCTAAGCAGCTTAGATGTCATATACCCTTTACAGGGGTTCATTTTTTGTTTTTGGCCGTGATATTTTGCTAGCAAGCACCATTTTGGATCATGGCTTTGCAGTTTTTTCCCGCATGATGTTTGTAAATCACCATTTTATTGTCACTTCAAGCATCATCACCCCATGATGTTTGATAATGTTAACTTCAACCATCATCAAACACTTTATCATCATAACATATTATAACATATTATATCTTCTCATCAACATCGGGTTATTACTACATACTTTATGCAGATTTTACCCATCAAAAATCCCCCAAACTTTGACCCAAAAAAATCCCCAAACTCAGGCGCTGCACTATGCGGCGTATCACGGGCACCTCAGCTGCGTCACGGAGCTGTTGAAGTCCAACCCGCGCAAGGACGCTAAACGGCGACGCAAGTGGCTCGGAAGTTGGTTGGTAAATGTCCTAACCCATAGGCTGGGTTAATGGTGAATAATGGTGAATAGTGGTGAATAATGGTGAACTATGGTGAACAATCATGATAATAATGTCAATAAGTCAATAATAATAATGATAATAATAATGGTAAAACAATGGTTCAATAATGTTAATCATGATTAACCATAATGTCCAGTAGAATATGTTAACCAGTTATGATAATAATGTTAACCAGTGGTAAATGATGGTTACCCTCTGGTAATGACTAAATGTCCTATTCACATCACCCAACTATTGGGAGTTTTCACCAATTCGGAAAGGGATGATCTATGGTTCTGGTTGATAATGGTTGATAGTGGTAAATGATGGTTACCCTCTGGTAATGACTAACATAGCTATTGAACATGGCCATAGAAATAGTGAGTTTTCCCATAAAAAAAATGGTGATTTTCCATAGGTATGTAAACGTTTACCAGATGGTAAATGTCCTAATGTTTCACATCAACCAACTATTGGGGATATTTAATCTCCAATAGATACTTGGTTTGGTGATGAAACAAATATAAAGATATCACCAAAAAGGGTTTACCAACCCCTGATGACTGTTGGAACTGTAACTGTTTGGGAAACGTCATGGGACCTGTCGTTCGTCAGTTTTTTTATGGGCAGTTTTTGGAGTGTGATTGGTTGTGACCTGGTTGTGATGAGCAATTTTTTGCAGATGGTGGAGCCATGTGGTTGCAAAAATCGGGGTTTTTCTGCCCATTGGGAGGAGTAGGTTTGACACGGATATTGGATGGAATGGGGGTTCCAATAACTGTCAGACAATCCCAGCTTAGATATCGACATGTTTCCTGTCGAATCAAGTCGAATCTAGGTTGATATTGCCTATCTTCACCATCATGTTCAAACATGTTCAAACCAATTTGGCCCATTTTCATCTGGTCTCAGAATAGGATCCACCAAATGGATGACTTTTAAGCGAAGTCCCCACTTCGCAGAAGGACCTCCAGAATAGCTACGGCCACACCGCAGCCAGCTATGCAGCCAGCAACAAATACAAGGCCGGTGGCATCGGTGGGGATCAGGTTCAGGTGTCCTCAAACATGGCTGGAACCTCAGCATTTTGAAGATGTGATTCCCATTCATTGATGAACTCCATCATTTTTCAAGATGGTTAAAACATGTTAAAACCACCAACCAGCATGATTTCCCTGTTGAGGCGATCGGCTCGCCCAGAAGGGATGTCATTTTTGTCAATCCGATGGCTCTTGCTGTGCAAGTGGATGTTGTTCTGATGCTACGCTAACAGCTGTTCGTTGGATTTCATAAGAACTTCCTGAATGCTTTTGGCAGAGTGGAGAAAAGAGGCTGAAAAAACTCACGCTGGCGAACAGATGTGTCACATCAACACACATTTCCAAACTTTCTTGTCGGAGATCAAAAAATGGTGTCGTTTCGCCTCAACGAAATACCATTTCGTTCATTTTGAATTGGCCCAAACAGTATAAAATGATGGTCCTGAATTTTATGAACACAAGAAACCCTGGGTTTTTAGCTGCAGGGTGGGAAAAAGACATGTCGACAGTTGCAGGGCGGGGGGGAGACCTGCGATTCCTTTGTTTTTCCTAAATATCTCAGGATTTCCAATAGTTGGATTCCATCCCCAATTACTCCCAATCAATCCCAACCACTAATCCCACCTAATCCTAATCACAACTATCGTTGTGCCCTTTCGCACCACAACCCGACTCTTGGTTTGGCCTGAAACATGGGTTTACCCATTCCACTGATTCATCATGATTCATCATTTTATGAATCAATCGACTGCAATTTGTTGGATATAATGTGCTTAAAACAATAATACGCCATCACCGTAGGTGGTATGTTTTATTCTTGTTTTAACCACATTGCACCATTTTCAGACAAACCATTTTGTTTTATCCAAATGCACATACTATATATACATATATATATACACGCTGTGTATATATGTATATAATAGACTGGGTGGTGGTTTGGAACATGTTTTATTTTCCATCATATATGGGATGTCATCCTTCCCATTGACGAACTCCATCATTTTTCAAGATGGTTAAAACCACCAAACAGTAGAGATATTACCCTCTGGTTATTTAACATAGCCATGGTATAGATGGCCCATTTATAGATGGTTTACCTATTAAACATGGTGATTTTCCATGGCAAACTGTTAGTCATAGCCAGAGGGCATATTCCATCAATCACCACTACTAACCAGTACTGACAATCATTAACCATTATTAACCATTATTAACCATTATTAACCATTGTTAACCATTATTAACCATTATTAACCATTATATATTAACCATTATTAACCATTATATATTAACCATTATTAACCATTATTAACCATTATTAACCATTATTAACCATTATTAACCATTAGTACATAGTTGTAAATAACCAGATATTACTAGTTCCTTATAATTCCGATCCAACATCCATATCGAAGTCATGAAGAAGTCGCAAGCGATGGGAGGCCATCGCGGACTTGTTGTCACGGCCACCCTCCAAGCGTGAACTGGCCATGCAGAACAAGGCCAAGCAAGTCGTGAGGTCAATGAGCTAGTGACTAGTGGGGGTTTGTCTGAAAAATTATATGTTTTGATGGGTTTTTGGGTGAGTAACTTAGTCAGTTGGCTTAGTTTTTGTTGGGGTAGTTGGATTTGTTTTGGTTAGTTGGCTTAGTTTTTCACTTTTTTGGTTAGGTTTGTCTGAGAACAATGTTGGTAAAGGAATGTCATAAACCAACAGATTGATGGTTGGAATCACACCCACAAAAGTGGTAAAATTGGGGATAGTTTACTATTGCTGTGCTAACATCACCCCAAAATGTCCCCAAAATCGCAGTTTAACCCTGAAGAATTTGCCAATTTTGTTTGTTTCCAAATCGTCTTCCAAGCCCCGAACTTATGGCAGAATCTGTTGGAATTTTATGGGAGGATATCCCCAACATCCCAAGTTTCATGATGTTTCCCACTATGGTTCATTGTTTTGGTAAACTAGCAGTTTGCTATGGAAAATGGCCCAGTCGAAATAGTGGATTTAGCCATTGATAGCATGGTGGATCTTTCCATCGTTTTTTGTTAACGTTTACTAGGCCGGGTAGCCCATTTTCAGAGACAGAACTGAGCTTTAGCAACAGAGATGGAGATTTTTCAACAGCAACCATGGAGACCATGGAGATTGAAGCATGGCAAACATGGGAAGATTTCACTGGAGTTTTTGCAATACACCAAGAAAAACAAGCATGGAACACGGTGATTCAACATGATTCAACGATGACATGAATCATGGATTTATGGATTTAAACTAGCGAAATGGTGATATGTAATACATGCTGGTTGCTTGACCATCCCGTGGAAAAGCCGAAAAGTTGACATGCGCACAAATCGACGTCACTGGAATTGAAGTAAGAGATGCACGAAATATCAGTGTGAATCATCCCCAAATATCCCACATATTTCAGGCGATTTATATCCAAATAACCAAACATTTCAGGTTTATCCAGATGGACGTTCATCCTCCACGCAATGGTTTTGTCTGAAGATAGAGTACCCCGTTCCGTCATGTTCCGTTCACTCGAAAAAATCATCATTTTCCCTATCTTTCAATGACCATATTTGGGGGCATGGACATGCCCTAACAAACATAGCTATTAAAAATGGTGATTTATCGTGAATTTACCCATTGAACATGGTGATTTCCCATAGTATTATACTATGGTCCAGGTTTTGACCCATCGCATGTTTTTGGTGCCGGTCATTTTCCTTGGATCGGTAGGAGAAGAAAGCTAAGACAGCCAAGGAGGATGCAGAGGAGGCAAGGTGCACGAAAAGTCGCGCGTTGCGCTTTTTTTCGCATTTTTCGTGAATATGTGGGTTTGTCTGAAAATAGGGATACTCATAGATAAGAATTTTAGTGAACATATTGTTTTTCCTCTAAAATTCAGACAAACCTGCACCATTAAAAAGTTCCCAACTTTTGGCTACCCACCTGCTCCGCTGGTTGTGAAACCATTTGATAGGAATACCAACTATGTTTCACAACCAGTATGTTGGGATGAGATATGGCTGGTTTCACCGTGATTCTTCGCAGTAAATATTGGATGAATTAATGGCGTTAACCCCTAAAACCCCAAATGCCGCCCCTTAAAAATGCCCCATTTTCAGACACTCACATTACTTCTTCATGCCGCAGGAAGACGACTTGAAGGAACTCCAAGATTTGATAGAGATGGGCAAGAGCAAACGCGTCCAGCTTCCCAGCGGTTATCCAAAGCTGGTAGCCCCATTGCGCGCCTTAAAGGGGCCCATCATGCCGGGCGGAGCACTGAGGTAGTTGTGATTTGTGAATTTTGAATCACCATTTGCCCAGACTAGTCTATCCTGATCATTTTTTGCCATGTAGCAGTTGACATATTATGCAAGTACTAACCCTGATTTTGAGCCGACAATGAAAGTCACTTGTATTCCAAGAATTTGCAAGCATCTATATCCTCTAGATTCTAGATCTTCATCCATATACGCCATACACGCTGCATGCGTGCCTACATACGTACATAGAATACATAGAATACATATAGAATACACATAGAATACACATAGAATACAAAAAGAATACATAGAATACATCTCTGTATCTACCAGAAACATCCAGAGACTCGCCCGGTGTCATCCTCAGAGGCTGAGAAGGGCGACAAGGACAAGGAAACCAAGCCCAAGCGGGTCGGGCAAGCTGGGTAAAAATGGGTCGTTTTGGTGGGAAAAAGTCTGACTTTTGCTGGGAAAAAGGTGGAAATGTGGTGATATCACCATATACAGCCCGCATTGATGGGGATTTAAGGATTTCCCCAGTAATGGGTAAATCCAGAATGGCGGGCCGCTTTTACCAAGGGTGACCTGGTGACCTGAAAAACGCTTGGTTTCAGAAAGGAGAAGCCCAGTTGTTGAGCCAACCTATGTGATACTTTCCTGAAACACTCTCCACTTATTGATGGTGGTTGCCCATTTTTGGAGATGTTTGGGATTGTTTGGTGTTAAAACGTTGAACCTCTTCTACTGAATGTTTGTTGGTCAAATCATTTCCTCCCTGCTTTTGCAGTACGGGTTAAATACGCATTTTATCAAGTCGAAGGGATATCATTTTGCCATTCGTTGGACCCATATCCAGTATGCATCATCACATGAGCAGTGCTCAAAACCCCTGTTTTTTTATGATTGATTTGGGGATTATACTAGATGTACATAGATCTGGGATGATCTGGGTAAATTATAACGACCTCACTGTGACCTCACTGGAATCATGGTTAAGGGAAATCATCCCCAAATGGCCGCAACATCTCAGGTTAAATATTATAATTTACCCAGATAGATAGCCAATATATTGGAGATGATCATAATCCATGAACTGGGAAATCCGATTCGCCGGTCTTGTCTCAAGCATGGGATGGTTGGGCCAGCCATGTTTTTTTTTTTCTGCCGTAGCCGAGGTAAAGGGTAGTGCGGAAGACCTGCACCAAAAAGAGGACACCTTTGTCGCTGGGCTGCAGGGGCATGAACTGGGCAACTGAGTCAGAACTCATGATTTCACTGGCAAAAACTGGAGGACTGGACAACATCCCAAAGTTACAACAAGACAATAGGATTCAACCATAATTATTCATGGAGATTTTGTGATTTTGTGTTTGTTTTCTTGTTTCTTTTCCAGGGCACATCCACCAGACGTGAACATTTGGAGTGGATTGACCTATCCAACAAAGTGCCCCACTAGGAATTTGATCAGTCAAATTTGGGATTTGCCGATTTAACCAGTACTCAGCAACTTTGAATCATAGACAGTTGAAACCTAACACCATGATGCAAATAGATGCCAAATAGGGCCACACATCTGCGAAGTCGCATATTTATCATATTTCAGATGATTTGGTATTTCCAACATTTCGCTATCCCAAAAAAATCATGGCAAATTTCATGACTTACATGACTTGACTGTGGCTTCGAATTTCATGAACTCACATCTTTTCATGGCTATCGGCGATCGGTTAACCCCTCCGAAATGGGCTTAGTTCCCCGGTGCATCCCTGACGAGGCTCCAAAAATCGAGCAAGTGACTGGTGGAGCTTTGAGTCGGACTGGGCAGATGTGGCGGTGAAGCAAATATGGGGAAAATACAAGAGAAATATATATATATATAATATATATATTATATATATATAATATATATTATATATATATATTATATATATTATATATATATTATATATATAGAAATATGGGATTGATAAAGCGTTTTTTTTTCGGATTTATAGGGGAAATTCACATATATGAGATAGGGTTTTTTTGGCTATACCATCACTGGGATATCCAGCCATATGATGCCAGTTTGATGTTTACAGGTGATTTTTGGAAATAGATTCCCCAGCAACGTTTGGGTCTCCATCTTGGGCAATTTTGGGAGGCTCCACCAAGTGGCTTTGAAAAAAGGTTTCGGTTTTGGGGAGTTGAGGAGATTTCGCTATGCTTCAGCTCAGCTCGAGGGCTTGTGAAAAAAATCCCCAATGATTCCGGAACTTTCTAAACATTCTAAGCAACGTGATGTCGCCATCGATATCTAAACATTCTAAACCTCCATGAGGGTTCCCTTGGAATTTCCCGTTTTTGTCAGAAGAGATTTTCCCAGTTTTGAACCTCGCGAGTTCCGTTGAATTTCCGCACCCAGGCAGTAAAGAAAAGAAAGCCCTGGAGGAGCTTTGAAAAGCGCCAACTTGAGATGGCTATGGATCAATACCTATGAAAATACCTTTTTTAATGGGATGAACATCCATTTTAACCCAGCTATTTTGATGTGAACTACAGGGGTACTATTGGTTTTGACACACTGCCAGATGTCTGTCATTTTCTGTCATGTTCCGTTTGGAGTCTTGAAGGCCATGGATTTGTCCGAAACTACAGGATGAGGCAAAAAGTCGAGTTCGCCTTCAGAAACGCCATTTTTTTAGTGGCTGAATTCTATATGGTTTATGGTGTAAATTGGTGGAACACACACACATGAAAGAACTTTCTCTAGGAACTATAGTAACTATAGTAAGTATAGCAACTATATATATATAGTATTCATGTTATTTTTTCAACAACATTCACATCACGTTTGGGGGCACCTGGCATCCCAGGAGATGGGACAGATTTTTTGGCGTTTGCTTCACGATCAAAGTCTTGAATCTTTCAACTTAGTGCATACGACATATGGACACTAATATGGTTTCATGTATGATATACTTTCATATACTGTGACAATATCTGAAAAACACGTACAGGAAAAAAACAACGCATACTGTTTATCAAATACAACATATCTTTTTCCATATTTTCCCCAATCCGATATTTGTCCTGACATTGATCGATGTTGTCCCAATATTCCTCACCATTTCCACATCTCTTTTTTGTCTTGATGTTTCCCACACATGAGATTAATTTTCCCATTCAACATTTCTCTATTTTTTCCCCATAACTTAAAAAAATCTGGTTTTATTTTCCCATGTCTCCCATGGTTTTCCTGGCATTTTCAAAATTTTCCCCATCTCCGGCGGCTTGGCCGCCGTTTCGTGCAGGAGCAGATCGCCAAGCTGAAGCGGCGCCATGAAGATGCCGAGCTCAAGGTGCAGCGAGGATTGCCTTTGGTGGCGAACTACCCACGAATCGTTTAGGTGGGTTAGTGAGTTCACCCCAGTGATTGAAGTGGATTAACCCGCTCCAAAAATCCCATGTCAATCACTGGGGTTTTCACTAACCCACCTAAACGATTCGTGGGTAGTTCGCCACCAAGTAGCCACATGGCATTGCGAAACAGCCAGCCACATCAATGGCCATTTCAGGAAAATCCTGGCCTGACATATGGCCTGAAATATGCTACGACGTTTACGTAGCTACGGTAGCTCCATCAATTGGATCCTGGAGATCTCCCATTGACATTATGACTCATTATGACTCATTATATACTGGTTGGTGGTTTCCAACATGGCTTTTATTACTTTTATTTTCCATTGCATATATGGGATGTCATCCGAAACCCATTGACGAACTCCATCATTTTTCAAGATGGTTAAAACCACCAACCAGTTGTAGATTGCCCTCTGGTAAACGTTAACAAAAAACTGTGGAAAAACACCATGCTATTAATGGGTACTTAAACTATTTCTATGGCAATTTTCAATAGCTATGTTTGTTTACCAGAGGGTAATATGAATGATGACGTCATCATATTACGGATTATGGATTAGATTATTATGATAATCTTATGATAAATGAAGATTTGGATACCATATCAGTTTCCGATGGATGACCATATTTTATCATAATATCACGGATCAGTTGATTGATTGATGACTGATAATTTACTATTATGGATCATTGTGGATTAATCTATTATTAATTATTGATTGATAATCAGATTGGTTATTATTTATAAGTGATTGATTGATTGATTGTTTGATTGATTGATAGCTAATCAACATTATAGTGAAAATTGATTGATCGATTTTAATCATTAGATTGATAGGACCAATCGATAAACCATGGTTTCGTTTGGGGGTGTTTTTTTTTTTAAAAATTAGGGGGAAGGGATGTTCTTTCTCTCTGGTGGATATGTATATATATATAAATATGCATATCTCAGTCGATGGGGTTTTATAAACCAATTTTGAACCAACTTATACTTGGGGGCGGGGCCTTCTCGTCCCCTAGAAGATCATAAATCATCCATAGGCTTTGTCATCATGCTCACCCCATTCCACAAAAATAGATTGGTCAGAGACATTCACTTGGTTTCTGTGGAACCTCCCCATGACAAAAAAAATCACCAATGTGTTCTAGGTTAAACCACCATTGTTGTGAGTTCCATCACCATTTTCCTGGGTGAACTCCCCCCGGGTCAGAACCAAAAGCGCATCGTCGAACTCTTGGAAGCAAGCCGGGGAGCTCATGGTGCTTGGGAAAGCTCCAGGAATGGGTTGATAAACATGAATTCATCTCCTTTCTATGTAAACGATTCCATCATAAACTATATATCAGAACCTTACATAGCATAGCCTTCAATTGCTGGGTATCACGTCATGTTTAGCGTTTTTTTTTTGTTTTATGAGAAAACGGGCTGGGCGACTCAGTCTTTTCTTCACATAATCCCCCATCCAATCGCCAGCTCATGGGAGTTAGCTATCACACATGGCTGGTAAATACAGAGTTTGTAGATGATTTTCCCTCTACAAATGTCTCACAGAGCCATGTGACTGATTGCGTTTGGCAACTTCTGTGACTGAAGTTGCTGCCATTGATGCCATTGGTTTTAAGCGGTCCTACTGTAGTTGGATGGAAAAAACCCAGTCCTTCCGGGATGGTGATCAATGAATGTTCGTTGGGATTGTCACAAAAACATCACAGAAATCTGGTTGGTGGTGACTGGAACATGGCTGGATTATGACTTTCCATATATTGGGAATGTCATCATCCCAACTGACGAACTCATATTTTTTCAGAGGGGTGGCGAAAAACCACCAACCAGAATATGTTTGGATTACCAATCCGGATTGGGCAACCATAATTCATTAATCCCATGTAACTTGACGACGCAACCGTGACCTGTGTGTGGCCTCAACGTCTCAGACTGGTGGTGACTGTCTGTTGGGACCCCATCGTTCAGAGGGACCGCAGATTGTTTGGTCAGTTTTTTTGTTTCGCTAGGGAACAAAGAAAGAGGTAATCATCGTACATGTATGGCTTACCCAAGCTTAAGCAAACGGGTTTTCCTAATAATATTTCCGTCACAGAAATTCTTCAATTTTTTTTTGAACAAATTGAGGAGTGATGGCAAACCCTTGGATTTTGGAACCTCACTTTTTATTTCTGATGATTTCTGGACCTCGGTTTCAGCCTTTCCAAAGCTGCACTTTGTGCATCCAGCCGAAACCTGTTTAACACAGATTTCGAGCCATTGTGATTGAACATGGTAATAACATATTTATAATATGGTTATAAGTTATACCGATGAAAAAACACCAGTTTTATTATCCATTTTCATTGGTATAACATTGGTGATTGGATCTGCATCTCAGTGATACAATGCCATAAACATCAAGCACCCGGTTATATGTGGGATATGAACCCCCCAGTCATTAACCCCAGTTAGCCCAGATAGTGGGCCAGTAGCCCTAGTGAATATCATCAGAACTAATTATATAATCCCAAATTATAATATATTATAATCATTAGTATCGAAAGTATCAACCCCAAATTTCAAAATCATTCACCGCGGTAACTTAAATTTCCGTTGTCATACGCCAGTTGTGGGATACTTTTTTCCTCACTTGATCCACCCTCTGGGACGGAGCATCACCAGAGCTACCATCCAGAAAACATCCCCAGCATTAAATTTCGGACAACATTTCTCTTGGGTACTACAGATGGAAATATACCATAAATATCCCATTGAATCCCATTATATACATACATAATTTAGATCGTCAGTTCCTACCAAATTCCAATATTTTCCATATCAATTCAATATCGCGTTTACCACAGGGTGACAGTTTATGATAGCATTTATAGATGGGTTGCCCCTACAGTACTCAATCCCTTTAATTTTCTATGAATTTCCTATTACATCCCAAGATTCATCCCAAATCCCAAACTAAATCCCAATCTATCTCTCTCTCTCTCTGTATATATATATACACTATATATATACACACTATATATATACACACTATATATATATACACTATATATATATACACTAGATATATATATATACACTATATATATACACTATATATATATACACAATATATATATATATATATAATATGTATATATCCCAATAATCCCTTACTACCCCCCCAAAAAAAAACTAGGGTCCGTCTCCAATTTTGGAAAATTTGAGGTTGGCCAATTTGATTTTTAATTGATCCCCTTTAGAAAACAATTTAAAAATGAGCTACCATTTCAGGGTTTCACCCCCTAATGATAAAAAACTAGTCAACACTGGGGTGTTTTTTATTAGGGTCCGTCTTTCAAGGTCGAAAAAAAAGTATTTTATATTAAGCTTTTTGATTTAATATTAGGGGGAAGCTTCGAAATCCAATTTTTGGCAATATTTTGATTAGGTTTTAAAAGGAAATCTAATCGATTTTGAAATAGAACAAAAAAGTTTTTTATATCAGGGTTTTAAATTTACTACTAGGGGGAAGCTTCGAAATCCAATTTTTGGCAATATTTTAGTTAGATTTTAAAAGGATTTCTAATCGATTTTGAAATAGAACAAAATAGTTTTTTATATTGGGGTTTTAAATTTACTACTAGGGGGAAGATTCGAAATCCAATTTTTGGCAATATTTTAATTAGATTTTAAAAGGAATCTAATCCATTTTGAAATAGAACAACATAGTTTTTTATATTAGGGTTTAAAATTTACTATTAGGGGGAACCCTAATCATAAATACCCCCTAATAATAAAAACCTGAGGTGTTTATTATTTGGGGGGTTTAGTATTAGGGGGAAGGGATTATTTTCCCTATTACCCTGTGGCAATCAAACATGCCAATTGAAAATCCAGCACTTTTAGACGATTTCCCCAGCTGTAAACCTCCACTTACAGAGGATTTTCCAGCCACGTTTGATAACACCGGAGGGAAACTGATTCAAATCATACACTTAATTCTTGTTTCAGCAACTGTTCAAGTAAATGTTGAAGAAACTGTTTATTCTAATATCCCCATGTATATATGTATATATGTATGGGTATATATATATACATACACATATACATATGCATATGTTCCTTACTAAACCACGATCTCTTATGATCACCAGCTCACGGGTCCGTTCGATCCCTAGGCACGGGACATCAGCAAGCCATCGATGAAGCCGAGCGCGCGGCACGTGGCTATCAGTACCTCGAGAAAGTCATGGCAGATGGGAAAACTGGGAAAATTCATTGAATATATATATATACATATATATATAGTTATATATATATAGCTATATATATATATGTATAAATGAATAGTTGACTATACACTACTATATATATATATATACATCCATATTGATTTATTGATATTATGCCTATGATATATGCATATCCGATGTGGGAAACTCTGGGACATTGGCCAGTCCCGAGTCCCTGCAAAGATGAGTCCCAGGCTTTCAGAGCAGATAAGATGATCACGTTTCATGTGTTTGCAGTAAAGCATCAACACAGCTACTTAAAAACTTAAGAAGTAACTTCATGATTTAAATCAGTTAAAACATGTTTTTCTTGCCATATGCTGAGCTCTCCACCGAGCGCTGAGGCTGAATTTGACGGAGCTCTCCATGCGAGTGCAGGAGCACTGTGGGATCATCAGGGGTTTAGCACAGTTGGATGTTTAGCATATGTTTACCAACAGCTGGATGTTTTATACTGGAAAATTCCAGTTTCTAATAGCTGGATGATTTTGGGGTATCACCCATTTTAGGAAACTACCTTAAATAGTATATTTATACCATTGAAATCAATTGTCTATACACTATATATATAAAACCTGTGGATTTAACCATCTATGTGAATGTCACGATTCTATACATTCATATTTGGATATAGTCCTAATTCGTCATATATTTGCACGAATTACAAGGACCTCACGATCCTCGTCACGTCGTGATTAAGGGCTGCCCCCCCTGGCGCCGACCCCGGAAGGCCAGAGACTTCGGACAAAGTGACATAGTCGGTGGATTACCAAGGTCACAAGATTGACCTAACAGAGAAAATGGAGCTGTGTAGGCTGGGTACCTAGGATTTTATCTATTGCCAAGTTTTTTGTTTATCTTGGGCCCAACAAAACTAGCACATTGTGGACAATTCTACTTGCTTGCACTTTTTGTGATACATATGATGATAAGGCATTGCAATTGGACAATCATTTCATATTCACCGTGGTTCTGATGTTTTCTTATCCCATCATCCCCATCCCCATGTTCATCTTCTTCTATTTCTTCTAAGATTTTCTAGGATATCCAAGTGATCTAATCGAGCTAAGCATGGGATAACATTGCTAACCTGGCCTCCTAGCTAAGGTACCTCACCCCATGTTATTTAATTTTTGTATGTTTGATCCTCCCAGGGAGCACCACAGGGGGATTTTAAGGTGTGGTGATTGAAATTTCAGCTGAAACCATTTATGCATGGTCAGCTCCCAGGCGGCAACATCGAAGGCAGGAACCCTGCTGCCACCACCTCTTGTTGTTTCTTGGCACGGTTTTAAAGTGTGGTCATCGAAAAAATGTATGTATGTTTATGTTGTTTCATAAATTCCAAGGACAAGGTCCTGGACTACATATGTTTATTAATAAATTCCAAGGACAAGGTGCTGGACTGTATGTGTATATACATATACATATATATATATGTAACTCCAAGGAAAAGGTCCTGGACTATATATGTTTATAAATAAGTTCCAAGGACAAGGTGCTGGACTGTATATGCATATACATATATATATATACATAGCTCCAAGGAAAAAGTCCTGGACTATAGGTGTTTATAAATAAGTTCCAAGGACAAGGTGCTGTGCTGTATGTGTATATACATATGTATATATATAACTCCAAGGAAAAGGTCCTGGACTGTATGTGTATAGAGCTGAGACAATTTATGTATGGTCAACTCCCAGGCTACATCATCACCAGCAGCCCCATCGACAGCAGCCCCATCAGCACCGCCTCCCGTTTCTTGGCACTACAGCTTGTGCTCAGAGTGTGTCCTAACAGAGAAGCATCATCTCAAACATTGTAACATTGTCTTATTGACCATTATTGTCTTGGTGGCTTTTGGATCTCGCAGTAGAAAAAACGAATCTGGCATATATGAAATAATATGAAACCCTACTTGACCATGTGCACATGGTGAGGGACCCTACAACCACTACAAAATATTGTGCAAGAATGACCACTCTGTGTCCAATGTCCGCACAACAGAGTCTAGCTGCTCACAGCATAGCTTTGCCAATGGGATTTCCCAGAGTCCTGCAGAATGAAATAGGTGCAGCCAGCGAAAGTTGAAGACAAGAAGTGGGGGTTTGAAGACGAAACAGCAGCTTGGTCATGGCTTTGATTGACATATTGTTAAATGAAACGGCATAGTATTTGCATATGAGCTTCTTTTTTTGACCGCTTACTGCCTGGCTCATGAAAAGCTATATGAATGTTTTTAAAGACAGAAACACAATCATTGACGTGTCACAAAAGGATAAACACTTGTCATTCTGTTCATCATGAATACCCAAGCTTTTTGTAAGATCATCATCAACATTGATTTAAAGTGCGTTACCGTGCGCATTGGAACTTGATGGTCAGTGTCCCTTGGCTAGAGCTGCTGGAAATCCATTGGTGTCGCTTAGTCCGCTACTTCAATTGAGACCGAAGCAAAGAAGCAGAAGCGTCCGAATGAAGACTTCGCAGCTTGGTCTTGGTTTCGAGCGATATTTGGATATATTCGATACCATGACATGACAGCATCAAAATATTAACTGCATACTGCCTGGCAGGCATTGAATTACATGTTTGGCACTTGTCATGCTGGTCGTCAACAGCACCTAAATATCTTGTAGGAATCTTTTTTTTGTGCCCATTACTTCTTGCCCGCTGAGGATTCTGCACTGCAGCTTACCGATGCTGATGATCAGAAGATGATGCTTGTCTATTGTTCGTCCTCAAAGTAGTTGGGGCTGCCTGTGCCTGTTTTCCCTGTAGTTGAACTTACTGTAACTGACCTGTTTCTTCTGAGGACCAAATTCTTGACATTTGGTGGCAGAAACTTCTACATTGGTGGCATGTTCAGCTACAAGTTGCTTCAAAGCTTTGCAGTGATCTGCTGCTTCAGCCGGGGGCACCTTGATCTGCAAGTTTCAGCTTGGACCCTTTGTTCAATGTTCTTACTGTTGAGAAGCAAGGTTTGGCTCCGTTAATGTTTTCCGCCAAAATCATTGGGTTTTGCAGCTGAAATTAGCTGAATTTAGGAACATCCAAATGATCCTTGGTTTTGCAACAAAAATATCAATGTGGCTCTTCTTCCATTTCAACTCTGGCATTCCATATTTGCAGTTCTGGAATTTCCTGGCCCTGAATTTTGAAAACTAGAACCTATGGCGGTAGAAAATATGGAACCAAAAAGTATCTGACAGCCTTGGGGATCAAAGCCTTGGATCTATCTATCTATCTACCTATCTATCTATCTATCCATCTATCCATCTATCTATCCATCTATCTATCCATCCATCCATCTATCTATCTACCTATCTATCTATCCATCCATCCATCCATCTATATATCTATCTATCTATCCATCTATCTATCTATCTACCTATCTATCTATCTATTTATCTATCTATCTATCTATCCGTCCATCCATCCATCTATCTGTCTATCTAGCTATCTATCTATCTATCTATCTTTCTATCTACCTATCTATCTATCTACCTATCCATCTATCTATCTATCTATCTATCTAGCCATCTATCTATCTCTTTGTTCAGGCATGGATGCCAGGCCTGCTAGTTATTCCTTTTCCCTATTCAGAATCGTAATTTTGTGACAGCCCTATATTCAGCTTCTGAAGAATCTTGAGTAAAACTCCTGTAGCCCATGAAACTGTAATGAAACCCATACCACATGCTCAGCCTAGCTTATCTCAAAATGAAAATCCCTGATCAGACCTGGGTGCCAGGCCTTTTGAGACAACCCTGTATTCTCTCTGGAAGCACCTGGAGTAAATCCCCTGTCCACCAATATTGTTTTTTACATAGTTCTTTCCTTAGCTGAGCTCTTTCCACAGGAAGGAAAATTCAAGAGATGACGGATTGAAATGCCATCTATCTACCTATCTACCTATCTATCCATCTATTTATCTATCTTTCTATCTATCTAGCTATCTATCTGTCTATCTTTCCATCCGTCTATCTATCTATGGATCCATCTATCCATCTATCCATCAATCAGGTCTCTATTTTTTCCATCCATGTGTCTGCCTATCTATCCATCTATGTGGCCCCTCAGGTCGGATTACGCCCAGCAGGCAGCCTATCTTGGCATCCCGTGGCTCCATGTGCATCCAGGATGGATGCACAACTGGGACGAAGAGCTGGTGGTGAATCAGTTGCTTGGTTTTACTGGGCAGGGGTTCGCAACAAAGAGCACTGAGAAACATTGTTTGGATGAAATAGCCAATGCATCTTCATTAATTGCTTCATGGATGATCTAAGGCTCAAGACGCTCTTCAAGTTCCTTTGGAAGCATCAGCGCCCGATCTTGGTCCACGATAGTCGGGGCGTGGAGCACGCGTCACTGGTCGGATCCATGATCCGGATGATTGCTGCCAGACAGACCGCTGCTGCTGCTGGTGGCTGCTGCTGCTGCTGCTGCAATCAACCAGCCTCTAAAGCAATCCCCAATTTTGACTGCTGCTGCTGGTGGCTGCTGCTCCTGCTGCTGCTGCTGCTGCTGGTGCTGCTGCTGGTGGCTTCTGCTGCTGCTGCAATCAACCAGCCTCTAAAGCAAGAAACCAACAGCCAGACACCTTTTTCGAACCACATCCGAAACAGCAAAACACCCCCGAATTTCGTGCCGACAATGGCGCAAAATCATTCGCAACAACAAGCTCCCCGGGGCCCGAACGTCCCTTCTGAAATCCTACTAGAAATCCAATTTTGACTGCTGCTGCTGGTGGCTGCTGCTGGTGGCTGCTGCTCCTGCTGCTGCCGCTGCTGCTGCTGCAATCAACCAGCTTCTAAAGCAAGAAACCAACAGCCAGACACCTTTTTCAAAACACATCCGACACAGTAAAACACTACCTAATTTCGTGCCGAAAATGGCGCAAAGTCAGTCGCAATAACAAGCTCCCCGGGGGCCGGAACGTCCCTTCTGAACTCATACTAGAAATCTCCACCCAATTTCGATTGCTGCTGCTGGTGGCTGCTGCTGGTGGCTGCTGCTGGTGGCCTGCTGGTGGCCTGCTGGTGGCTGCTGCTCCTGCTGCTGCTGCTGCTGCTGCTGGTGCTGCTGCTGCTGGTGGCTGCTGGTGGCTGCTGCTGCTGCTGCTGCTGCAATCAACCAGCCTCTAAAGCAAGAAACCAACAGCCAGACACCTTTTTCCTGCTGCTGCAATTAACCAGCCTCTAAAGCAAGAAACCCTTTTTCGAAACACGTCCGAAACAGCAAAACACCACCGAATTTCGTGCCGAAAATTGCGCAAAATCATTCGCAATAACAAGCTCCCCGGGGGCCGGAACGTCCCTTCTGAAATCCTACTAGAAATCCAATTTTTGACTGCTGCTGCTGGTGGCTGCTGCTCCTGCTGCTGCTGCTGCTGCTGCTGCAATCAACCAGCTTCTAAAGCAAGAAACCAACAGCCAGACACCTTTTTCGAAACACATCCGAAACAGTAAAACACCACCCAATTTCGTGCCGAACATGGCGCAAAATCAGTCGCAATAACAAGCTCCCCGGGGGCCGGAACGTCCCTTCTGAAATCATACTAGAAATCTCCACCCAATTTCGATTGCTGCTGCTGGTGGCTGCTGCTGGTGGCTGCTGCTCCTGCTGCTGCTGCTGCTGCTGCTGCAATCAACCAGCTTCTAAAGCAAGAAACCAACAGTCAGACACCTTTTTCGAAACACATCCGAAACAGCAAAACACCACCTACTTTCGTCCCCAAAACGTAGCAATCCCTAACGTCCCTTCTGAAACGCTACCAAAACTGTTTCTTTTTTCGCTTTTTCAGCTTTTTACGCATGTTTTCCACATCTTGCAGCCGGCGAGCCTGCCAAGCACAAGCTGCATGGCGTTGGGACGCATCCGCAACAGCAAAACATCACCTAATTTCGTTTCCAAAACGTAGGAACGGAAGCCCCAAAAAATCCCTAATGTCCCTTCTGAACTGCTGGCTTCTATACCTGCTGTCTGCTGGCTGCCTGCTGCTGGCGTCGTGCCGTCTTACTGCCGCTGGCTGCTGGCTGCCGACTGCTGCCTACTGGCTACTATTGCCGCTGGCTGCTGGCTACTGGCTATGTGCAGTTCTACCCTATAGAATAGTAGTGGTAGTAGCTGGCTGCTGGCTACTGGCTATGTGCAGTTCTACCCTATAGAATAGAAGTGGTAGTAGTCCGAAACAAGGGTCAAAAGCCTTATTCCCTGGCGCGCTCCCCCTTGCGTCTGCCGGGGTCGGCGGATTCCAAACTGCTTTTTCGTTTGGAGAATCGTCCCCAAACGAAAAGTGACCCCAGAATGGCAGGGCATTTTTTTCAACAAACTTGGTGAATTTGGGTCAAAGCTCCGGTTTTTTCATACAATGATCATCCAGGAAGATCCACAGTTTGGACCGAAAAAAAACTGGACATTCAGCAGTTCATTCTTCCAATAATTACCAGGTTACTATCTCCTGAAAAAAAAATCATGTTTTATTCAGTTTCTGCTGTTCATTTGATAAAACTGAGGAATGTTCCAGCAGAAACTTATCCACTCCAGGAAGGATTGGGATGATATGCCTCACTGATTGGCTGTTGCTTTACACCTCTGGGTTGAGGAATTGGTGGCCCTAGCAATCTGCAAAAGTGAAATCAGAAATCAACCATCGATCGCCCAGTGGAACAAGCTCATATTTACATATATTTACTGCAAATCCACGAAAAGAATCTACATTAATCACCATCTCAGTTCTCAAAAATTAAAATGGTGACATCACCATATTTCCCATGCAGAAAACAATACTTCAAGAATTGGATGAAAGTTGACACCGGAATCTTCGGGTATATTTTGGGATCTACTGTTGATCTACTGCATTCCATCTAACGGCTTGAATCATATCATTTTCTCGATTCAAATGGCCGGGGGCTAAAAACTTTCAATATACTTCTCCTTGTCCCATTTTTGTCCCTTGAATTTCCATATTCTATCTATTTCAGGATGTTTTCATATAGTAAAACGCTATATATGCCATATATAAGATGATTTCTTACATATATGGCTGGCTTTACATTCCAAGAAAGTGAACATGTGTTTGCAAATTTAGAAGCCCATTGTTTTCCATCATAGGTTTGATCCAGGTGAGACTTCTCTGGATATCATATGTCAACCAGTTGTTATCAACCTATGTGGGAAAGACGCAAGTTACTACACAAAAAAACAACAATATGATTATAATATGATTATATATATAATTATATATATGATTATTATTTATGATTATATATATGATTATAATATATGATTATAATATGATCATATATTTGATTATAATATGATTCTATATATATGATTATATATGATTATATATATATGATTATAATTTGATTATATATATGATTACAATATGATTATATATATGATTATAATATGGTTATATATATGGTGATAATATGATTATAATATTATTATATATATGATTATACATATGATTATATGTATGATTATTATATGATTATAAATACGATTATATGATTATAATATGATTATATATATGATTACAATATGATTATATATACGATTTTAATATGATCATATATATCATTATCATATGATTATATATATATATCATTATCATATGATTATATATGATGATAATATGGTTATATATATATGATTATAATTTGATTTATTTACATGATTATGATATGATTATATATATATGATTATAATACGAATATATATATATATGATTATAATATGATTATATATATGATTATAATATGACCATATATATGATTATAATATGGTTATATATATGGTGATAATATGATTATATATACATATGATGATAATGTGATTATATATATATGATTATTATATGATTATATATACGATTATATGATTATAATATGGTTATATATGATTATAATATGATTATATAAACGATTTTAATATGATCATATATATGATTACTATATGATTATATATGGGATGATAATATGGATTTATATATATGATTATAATTTGATTATATACATGATTATGTTTTGATTATATATATATGATTTTAATACGAATATATATATATGATTATAATATGATTATATATGATTATAATATGATTATATATATGATTATAGTATGAATATATATATATATATATAATATTTTGTACACTTCCCTTTGCGCTGCTTCCCCAGGAGTTGGAGTCCAAGCATCACAGTAGCGAGCTGCGGGCCTGGAGTCCCGGTTGCGCCGTTCCGGAATCCGTTGGGGCCCGTGTTCCCCCCCATGGGATGGGTCCCCAGATGGTCAGCACTGAATCTGTGTGTTTAAGTGGACATTGTATGTGGTGCAGCTGTGGGCATGGACATGGACAGACCATCCGATATGACGAAGACACGTACATCTTATATACAAACATACATACATACATACATACAGACATACAGACATACAAACATACAAACATACAAACATACAAACAAACATACATACATACATACAGACATACAGACAGACAGACATACAGACAGACAGACAAACATACAAACATACAAACATACAAACAAACATACCTACCTACCTACCTACCTACCTACATACATACATACATACATACATACATACATACACCACATACATACAACTAACCATAAGAACCAGGACTGGCCACCCATCACCAACGCCCCAAACGCCCCACCACCACAGGCCACAGGGGGTGGGGGAAACGCTAAGAAGCAAGACTGACCCATTGGGGGGGCTGGCCGACGCTGCACCAAATGTGTATATATATATACATGGATTGAACCGTTACCAAGTTGTGGCGAGGACAGCTAGACACCCATTGCCTCCACTTTCAATGTTGTGTGAAAGCAGTGCTTGGCAGAGCCTTCAAAAGGACTGCCATTCTTGCTTCAGCCAGTGGGAAGTGCTGGGTAGCAACATTGATGCTGGGGGGGTCCAGGGGCTTATGGCCCTTTTCGAAACTTTTGGTCGATGGCTGTTTTTTTGAAGAACCCAGTATTGAAGGAGACACATATTTCAATCATCAAAGACGAGGTATACGAATTTAGATTTATTCGCAACTTTTTAAAATTATTTCCAATCATAAGTTTTTTTTTTTCGGGGGTTTAGCAATGATCAAACACCATTTTTCAGCCATGAAACGCATGCTTTGAGTTTGAAGGGTCATCAAACACGCGATGAACTTGGTGATTGTGGTTTTTGGATGGCCGAAAAAATCCGGCCCAATACATCCCAGCACCCTTGGTTTGATGAGGGATCAAAATTTACTATGAAAACTTGGCAATTTTTGGTAAATGGCTGCAATCCCAGCGATGAACATCTCAAAATTTCCATCTCAGCAGTCAAGTGGTTGAAGCATGTTGCTTTGTCTGAACATGGGGCAAAACCACCAGAATTTGATGGTTCATTGACATTTTCCCCTTTTAAGGTTGGGTACATTCACATCCATGTGAAGTCAACTGGTTCTTCTTGAATTCCGCAATTGAATCCATTGGATTAGGGAAAACTTATGAGAATCTCGATTTAGAGGTACCATGGAACACCCCATTTTCACAGCCTCATATCATGACATCTTTTTTGTGCAACCTCCAAAAAGATGCAGAAGAATCGAGCCAAACTGAAAAAAACTGGAACATTACATAAATTTACATGATATTTGATAGAAATTACACATAAAATAGCTGACTTTTTATGACTTTTCCTGGTGCCCATGACCCATGGCCCATGACTCTTTTTACCGAGGCTACGGAGGAAAAGGATCGTGCAGCCTGGAGCCCGAGATCAGCACATGGTGAAGCTTTGGTGCATGGAATATTCATTTTTGTTTATCTATTTTTTTTTACATGTTTTTCCATTTTTTCCAATGTTTCTTCATTTTTTTTACATTGTTTTTTTTTGTTTTTTCCATTTTCTTTTTTTCATGTGTTTTTTCATGTTTTTTCATTTTTTCAATTTTTTCCATTTTTTAAATTTACTTTCATTTTTTTTATTTTTTTCATTTTTTCAAAATTTCCAGGGAAATTCATAAAATTCATGCAAACAACTGGAACATTCATATGGAACATTGGGAAGATGTGGGACTTGAACTTTGCGTGAAGCTGGTGATGTTAGCGGATTGCTCTACACTCTAAACATGTCAATTTCGATGGGGGAAAAGCACTGATTTTCGCCTTTGAAATGAAAGGTCACTGGTTGATGGCAACATGTTGGGTCCTTTTTTAAAGCTGTAACCTTGTAGTTTGATGATGTTTCCCACATATATTCCAGGTTTCAAACTTTTCGTTTTTTTTGGTGTTGCAAAAGAAGTACTTTGCTCAGATGAGCCCGGAAACCCTTGGTGCTTCATGATATGTAGCTGTATCTTTTGGCTTCCGCCGTCAGTAGAACGTCTTGGATGATAAACTCGCCTTTTTGTCGATGGATGTAGAAATTAGCTTCGTCCTAGCTCAACATGCCAAATCTTTGGCATGCAGATAGTCAGTTCAGGTCAGTTCGCTTCAGCCTTTGAAAATTGTGTATCTGCCAATTCTTGGCCAACCTCACAGCTGGACGCTGCAGACAGTCAAAGTTTGCTGTCAGTGTGTGGAACGAAGCACACGTGGCGTCCTTCCTGAATTGACGGCTCGGTGATGCATGGTTTGGACTATGGCTCCATCAAGGCCATGATGGCAGCCTGCAACAGAGATAGATGCAGGTTGACTGGAGTTGTTCACCAATTTTCTTTTCTGGCGGTTTTTCTGTATCTCAACCAGCCAATTATTTTTTGGGGTTCCGAATTTCTCAGTAAACAACGAGGGCAAAAACAAACTGGCTAACTTTCGGTGAAGCCCCTGGCCCAAATTGCACATGGATTCCGGAAGTGGCTTTGGTGGATACAGCAGTTGAATCAGTGCGACCAATGGTGACCAAGCCGGGCCAAGCGTTCAATTTTTGGGTCCTCTTGAGGTAATTCTTTTGCCTTGAGAGGTTTGCCTTGCCAAACTGGAAGTGCACCACGCAAGTGCTGCTTGTGAAATCCACACGTGTTGCTCTTCAAATCCCACGCTTATTTCCAAGTATATTAGATATATCAGCTGAAGCAACATTCCACAAGATTGTACTACCCGGCTATCCTTTGGAATAATAAAACAGTTCGTTATAAATAGAACACCATTTCTCATCGAACAGTAAAATCATCGATCTTCATGGGCTTCTTCATGGATCTTGGATGTACACCCCATCCCCCCAAAAAAATGAAAAACACCCCCTGTCAGAAACCATGAAAACCATGAAAATCAATGGGTTTCCTGGAAAAAATCCACCTGGTTTAACAGTTTAACAACCCTAAACCCCTAAACCGTTCACCACAGGAACGCTTGCAGCGCGAGATGCAGGAGGCCGAAATCGAGGCCGAAATCGTGATTGACCATCCCCAAAAGGATAATAAATGTTAGTACATGATCATATTCATGGTATATGATGCTATTGAAATCTATTTGAAATCATAGGTAATAGACTGGTAATCGTATATTTCATAATTATAGACTGAGTCTTAATATGAAGTATATTAATGATACAGGGATGGTATATACATGCCATTGATTGTGATTTTGGGGACAACATATGGGATAATATATGGGATTTCACCAAAAAATCAGTAATTGTATACAATTGGATAACGTAATAGGGTTCACCACAATATATAGTGTGTAATAGGATACTCACGTTAGTGAAGAAGTTGTAACCAATCCCCAATTTCAACTATAAATCGGTGATATAAATCTTCAACATATGATGGTTTATTGTTGCTTTACTGAAATATTCAGATTCTATCCCATTTCATAAATTATCACTGATAGTTGTTGATGAAAATCATAAGATATGACCATATTATAATTGCAGTAGTATATATATATATATATGGTAGTGTGTCAAAACCTTGTACCCCTGGTGAACATCAAAATAGCTGGTAAATGGATGTTCATCCCCCTAAAAATGGTATTAATAGGTATTGATCCATAGCCATATATGATACTGTTTGAACTAGGATTACACATATTAGGGATAATACATGGGATTTCACAGACAACTATTGGTGAAACTTCGGAAACTGATGATTTGATGATTGAAACAAATGGGAATTCAATATGGAATTAATTGATTGATCTATCAATGGCATATAATGGATATATATATATACATATATCATATGTATATATATGTATATATATATAATTGGGATATGTCACCAACAATATGATGTTTGGGTGTGAAAGTGAGGGATAACAGTCCCATTGATGTCGGGAAAATGATAAGTGTCGGTGAGTCGCCATGGAACGGATCCATTTTCAGCTGCTATAGCCCTGGCTAACCAGGCCCAGCAAGAGCATGGGCTCGTTGTGTAAAGCATGGTGTTTGTGGATAACGAGCTGTTTTTTTGTAAAACAGCTCCTTGTTTTTTAAAGAGGGTTTGGACTTTGGACGCAAAAACCTTGGTTTTGTGAAAAAAACACGATTTAAGTTTAAACCAAAGCATGTGTGTAAACCAGGGTTTTGGAAAAGGCCATATTGAGAAAGGCTTTGGAAAAGGCCATATTTAGAAAGATCATGCGTGTAAAAGGTGTTCAGCACAAAAACCAGTGGATCAAGTATTGGATATAAGAAGCGATGGAGCAAACCGATGGCAACACAACAAAAAAACGGGAACAACCATCGAAATGACCGCAAGATGTGCAAAACCAAGCCGGTGTTGAGCGAGGTGTGGGCAGAGTTGAGCCAACCACAACGTAAGGAAAGATGAAGACGAAACGAAGAAGAGCTAGGCGGGGAGGAGGGGGGGGTGGGTTCAAGTCAGACGAGGCAAAAATCCGCGCCAAGGGGGGAAGTCTAGACAAAGACAAAACAGACAGTACAACTACGAACAAGCAAGATCCACAAGACACGCCGGCAGGCCGGCGGATTCAAGAAAAATCAGGGACGCCTCACTTTTTCTTGCAACATTTAACTCCCCCATGTCTCCCAAGTTCAGTTTTGCTGTACAAATTCTGTTTTCGGGAGTCAACCTCCCATGTTGCTAAGCTTTACTCCCAACTTAAGCTTAACTTCAAGTCCCATTTTCTCCTGGTTTGTTGGCTCAACTTCACTTCAAGTCCCATTTTCCGATATTTTCCGATCTTTTTTTTTCGGGCAACATCCAGTTGTTTTGGTCCTCAGTCACCGTATGGATTCCAGGTGCAGCGGCAGAAGGTGAGAGCCGAGGCGGCGGAGAAGGAGCGCGACTTGCATGCTGAGGCGGCTGATGGATGTGAATGAAGTAATAGAAAAGGTGACTGGACTATGGTTCTATTATGGTAATATTATGGTAATATTATGGTTCTCTTATGCTAATATTATGGCAATATTATGGCAATATTATGGTGATATTATGCCAATAATAAAGGTCATAATGATATGAACCAAATATGGTCATTTTTTCGCGGGAATTTTCATAGCTCGCTGACGACTAAAACCCATCCCATATCTTGACGAACGATGCAACGATGCCAGCATAATATATAGTTGAATGCGAAGCATGATAAAGGTGATATTAGCGGTAACAATAGGTGATTCACCTAATGGTAATATGATGGTGATATATATAATATGAATAGGTAAATTAATATGAATATATCCATGGTAATATGAATGGGTGAACCATGGATATATGGTAATTTGATGGTAATATGATGGTAATATATAATAGGTGACGAAGGACCCCCCACATATCTTGAACGAATTTGTTGGGGATATACCTATAAGCCTTGGGAAAGATAACTACAGCATAGGTAAGAAACGATCGTTTATAGTTTATAGGTATTTATCAGTTAACTGGCAACTGGTAGCCTGAATAAAACGTGGTAGATGCAGTACCATCCCAACTGTCGAATAATTCTCCAGAACTATTGGATATGTATTATGGTAATTTAACATAGCGCTATTGGACATGGCCATTTATAGTGGATTTACCCATTGAACATGGCAATTTTTCATAGCTATGTTAGTTTACCAGAGGGTATTTTTTTGGAGCCTTTTAGAACCATTAGATTCGTATTTAATGCAGCCGCTGTTCAGGCAACTTCTCTTGGGCATTTTGGGATTTGTGTGCTTGCTGTACAGCTCATCACAATAATTCTGGTGGCCGGCATGTATCCGGTAGAACCTGCGGTTGAAAAAAATGGAAACAATATTTGATCGTGAACTTTTGATCTGCATACCAAACTAATGACAATTCCATATGAAATGGTGTGGCAAATTGCAAACAGTTGCATAAAGATAAACCAACGGAAATAAGCATTCATAAACAGTAACAACCGGTAATAAACGCTAATCAACGGCAATAGCTTTTGGATACGGAACCTCTAGGCTCCCATATAATCAAACCTAACCCATTTCAGCGGGGAGACATTGCTTTTTTGTTTTTCCGAAGAGCTTAGATCATCCTTCCCAATCGGGTAAATTGGGAACCATTCAAAATGGATATACAATCCACCATGATGGGAATGCTCGAAAATGGGTTGGCGTGAAGTCGAAGAATCCAAAAAAGTGCTTAGTGTACCATTATGAATGAGCAGAATCAGTGGGTAGGTCTTCAACCTTGACCTATGCCCGAACTGTTAAATTACCAGAGGCTAACTAGGCTACCCCGTCCTCACAGTTTGAATGTCAGTTTCATCAGATTTAGGATAGCTTTGTTTCATGCAGAGAAAATCCAGCAGATTTGCCTTTTTTGGGATAGGTTCATAGTACCGTATAGTCTGCCCCATTTGGTTTTCCATGGTTTTTTGTCCCTGCTGGGGGATGTTCCAATTTCAGAGTTGACCGACGAATCGTTTCAAGGAACAATCTTCAAGTTGTTGTCATATGTTTTTCCATGTTTTTTCCTAATTTTTATGGGACACCAATTGTTTTTTCCTAATTTTTATCGGAAACCAATGGTATTTTCCTAATTTTTATGGGAAACCAATGGTTTTTTCCTAATTTTTATGGGAAACCAATGGTTTCCTGTAAATCTCCTAAAAAACAACCGTGCAGGTGGCAAAGCGGCACGAGGACTGGTGGGGCCCTGGTTTTTGGGCAGTTTGCATGGAACAATCACCAGTACTTACCTATTTCAAAAGGGTGATTTACCTCTTACCCTCTGGTAAACTAACATAGCTATTGAAAATGGCCATTTATAGTGAGTTGTCCCATTAAGAATGGTGATTTTCCATAGTTATGTTAGTTTACCAGAGGGTAAAAATGAGGATTTACCTATTAAACATGGTGATTTAATGTGATTAACCGGGTGATTTACACTTCAAATAGGTAAATCATCAAAGTAAACGGGCCACGGCTTCCAAAAAGCGACTGGTAATCAAACAGGGCTGGGCAAAAATATGGACACATAGTGATACAACCGGCATTTATGGGGATTGAATGGGGATTCACAATTGGTAGTCAAACATGGCTGGGAAATCCACAAGCTAACTACACTATCCTTTGAACATGTTTGCGGACGTTGTGGCCTTGTTTGGGGGCCCGATTTGCAACCCTGAATGAAATCAACGCGTTGTCAGTGGTAAGAATTGATTAAACATGATCGTATACCTTATACATCCTTATACCCGGTATAGCCCCTAAAATCTAACCTTCCAGATTGATAGGGAAGCCATAGATTTAAGCGATTCAAGGCATCACTTCCGGATCCCCTGATTTCCATGGGAGGAGAATTTGAAGCATCGAAGGGAGGAGGCCGGGAAGAAGATTCCCTACGTTGGTGGTTTAAGCCGCTACAAAATTGGGCATGTTGGTGCTTCATTTACCAATATCCATCCGATTAGCCTCTGGGAATCAAAAAGGGTAATGGAAATCGACTACCAAAAAATGGAGGTTGACAGCTGGGGTCATCATCGAAACATGGGGATTTTCCAGCCACTTTTGATGACACGACCGAAAACCACGGCAATTTCGGCGTAATTCGGCGTCGATGGGTTTTGTAAGGGGGACAATCCTCAAATTGTCCATTTCAGGTTGCTGAAACATATACCATCTGGTTATTTAAATTTAACATAGCCATGGAAAGTGGCCCATTTATAGATGGTTTACCTATGAAAAATGGTGATTTTCCATAGCTATGTGAGTTTACCAGAGGGTAACTTGTCCTTCTCCCTCCTCTCCAAGTCGGCTCAAGTCGGGCACCGCCGGAGCCGAACATGACGAGCTCACAGACTGCCAGGATCTGTCAACGTATTGGTGTCAGATCAAATGGCAGAAGATATGCCAGATCGAATGCAAGAATGCCAGAGTGTCAGGTCACGTTATATCTGTCAGATCTGTCAGAATATCAGAAAAAAACAGAACATATTTCCGAATATTTCATGGCAGAATGGCAGATGCCGAATGTCCCAAGGGGGATTGATGTGGCGGCGGCGCTTCCAGATTTCTGGAGAGCACCTTGTGCGAAAAAACATATGGCTTAGAGATGGTTAGAGTTAGAGATAGTCAGAGTATATCAGCAGTATGTCATTAGTATGGCAGTATCTCAGATCATATTCCGGAAGGGTTTTCCCTCTGGGCCAAGTTTGAGGGAAAACCAGCGTCATTTTTTCGGACCGCCAGATTTCCCGTGATCCCATCATCCCATCTCTTGGAGATCTAATGGAATTATAATTGTTTATACTACTTGGATATATATATATATGTATATATATGATATAACATAATATAACTACAAGATAGATCTATAACTATATAATACTATATACATCTATATACTACAATATAACTCTGCAACTATGCAATACTTGATATATAACTATACAATACATATCACTCTAGCCACCTCATGTCCCTTTTCGTTACGGAGCTTAGAATCCTATCTTTTAAAGCACCTGGGTCCTGCTTTCCAAGCCATCGGTTATTTGGGGATCCCCAACATGTTGGGATCACCATTGGTCACTTTTTGATTTCGAAGTGGTTCACTGGAATTATTTGTCAATTCTGTTGAATAGCATACATAGATTTATCATATTTATAGCCTTAATGTGGCATCTATATTCCTGAAGGGTTGACCTGAATACAACTGTTTGGGATTGCCACAGGTGAATGACCACCTGCAGCAGTTGGAGAAACAGCAGCAGGACACGGTTTTGCAGGGCGAACTTTGGGTTGGACGAATTGGACGAACAGCGAAAGTTATATTGGTATACCCCAAACCCATCCAAACCCATCCAAACCCATCCAAACCCATCCAAATCCATCCAAATCCATCCAAACCCATCCAAATCCATCCAAACCCATCCATCATAATTCACCATGTTCCGGATTGAAAAAAATCCACTGGGTGCCCGATTTGTGTGTTTTGCTTTCTTGGGTATGCCCGATTATCAGACATGCCCCAGCGCGAATCGAGCCATTTCTAGTGATAGAAGCAATTAGAGGTGGGGAAGCACCAAGATATTGGTGATTGAAAGAAGATTTGGGCCTGACTAAAAATAAGATATACCCCCTTGAGCCATCTACTGGATCATTCTTTTCCCATGGGTTTTTTTCTCTTTTTTCATGGCAAAGTTTGTTCTTTTTTTCCAGAGCCATTCAGTAGTACAGTCATTGGATCTAGGGTGAAGCTTCTGAAAGATGTTAGAATTCAAACTTCACTTCTAGACTTTCATGTGGCAATGAAATCATGAAAGTTGTTGCATCATGTTTGGACTTTCAGAAGATTCTTTGGGATTTTCCCATATTTTCCCCACAACTGTCCAATTGGCTCCCACAAAATAGGTGGCCAAAAACGACTCTTGAACTGGTTCCTTTGTTGGCGATATGGCCATTTTTGGCGCCGATGGGTGTTGTGACGTGGCAGGATTTTTGGTCCCATCCATATTGGATCGATTCATTTAGATCCACCGGTTTTAAAGGACTACTCTTAGTGGATAGATTTACAAAAGATAGCGATTTCCCCATCGTTTTTGTGAAGGATTGTTGTTGGATTGTTGTTGTCCCAAGAAGGAGATGTCATCTCTGTTGAGCGATGTGAAGAAACAGTCCGAGGTGCCTTGGGGGCGAGATTCAGGGTATCATGATGATTCACCAGATTTGATGTTCAGATGAAGCCGACCAAGAGTTTACATCTCAGTCACAAATAAGGAGACCAAGATACCTGATGGGGATACAAGAGGATACTCGGGCGCCAACTGCGAACTCCAACAGGGTGCCGGGAGCATTCTGGTGGTCAAGGGCCTGGTTTGTCCTCCCAGTTGGATGGGACTGGTAAAATTAATCCTAAAGAAACTCTAAATGAACCCCAAAGAAACCCAAAAGAAACCCCAAATAAACTCTGAAAAAACCCTGTGAGAATGTATATAGTGGAATACCTCTGTGGGGCGTAGCGCACGTGCTGCAGGCAAGATTAGGCCAGCAATGGATGCCGACATATACGGACTACAAAGTTTCAATGTGCATCCACCTTATGGAATGGTTGATATGCATGCCTACATTTGGGCGCCTGCCACCGTTATCAAAGGAAAATTAGCTAGCAAACTTCCAAGTTACGGACGATTGTCATGGCATCATGTCAACCACATCATCATGTCAACCACCCATCATCAAGTAGTTTGGAAGTGTAACAGTTCGGACCCGTGTGAATTCCCGGGTGAAAACATTCTCAGGCGCGAAACCCTGTGTTTTGTCGGGTAAAGTGGCTTCCGTGGTCGCCGAAGTAGGGTCTCTGTTTCCGCGAGTTCGGGGGTCGATTTGCAAAAATTGCCGACAAAAAGTGCACAGGACTGTAGCGAGAGCTCGATTTGCACGTCAAAATGTTAAAGAACTGACAGCCCCGGAGAATTTCACAGAAAAATTGCAAAAAAAAATGAGGAAATCAGAGCAGCGCCGGATTTGTGCGGTCGAAGTCCCAGTGTCAGCGCTGCGCGAACATTGATCGATCTGGTGCGGCGCTCCTGCTATGCGGGGGTTGCAACCGGCTGTGACAAAACGCATTGGCACGGCTGCGTGCAGGAAAGCATCAGTGATGTTGCGTCGGTCTTGGCAAGGGGGATTGCAGCTGGAGGTTGCTAAACGCATTGTAACAGCTGCGCGAAGAGAAGAAGTGAGCTGGCTGGGAGGCAGATCAGAGCAGAGGTAGCCCAGATAAGTGGCTGCTGATTCGTTGAGTCATTGATTGATCGATTCATTGGTTCAGTGATTCAATGATTCATTGCTTGACTTATTCATTGTTTGTTTCAATGGTTGATCCGCTGGTTCATTGATTCATTGGTTTGTTGTTTGATTGATTCAATGATTCATTGATTCACTGAATCATTGTTTCACTGAGTCACTGGCTTGTTAACTCATTGGTTCTTTTTTTCATGGATTCATTGACTCACTGATTCATTTATTTATTGATTCATTGATCGATCCACTGGTTCATTGATTCGTTGGTCCACTGATTCATCGGTTCATTGATTGATTGATTGATTGTTGGATTGGTTGATTGGTTGATTGATTGATTGATTCACTGAATTGTTGATTGATTGACTTGTTGATGGATTGATTATTTGATTTATTGCATCATAAACTCACTGCTTCATTGGATCACTGGTTCATTGACCCAATGATTGATCCACTGATTCGTCCATTCATTGATTCATTGTTTCACTGATTCATTGAATCATTGACTCGTTGATTCATCGATTCATCAAATCATCGACTCACTTCTTAAATCGTTTATTGTTTCATTGGTTCATTTCTTCCTTGCTTCATTGCTTCACTGGTCCCTTGATTCATTTACTGATTGGTACATCGTCTGATTCATTGATTCATCGCTTCGTTCCTAATCGGTTCGCCGATTCATCGGTTCATGCCGTCAGTAGTGCATAGTTTTTTCATGCCATTTCATTGGCATCTCAACCACCATTTGCTCATCCCTTGGTGCACCTCACAACTTCAGCACTTTGCTGCTTCTGCATCTGACAACTCTTCCTAAAGGCCATCTCTTTCTATAGTGGTCTCATTTTTTCGAAGCTTCTGCCCCGGCATGGGCCGGACACTATTGGAAACCGTTTTTTGAAATTGCGTAGGATGGATGTATTGTTATGCTTTTGCATCTCCTATATGCGAATCCAAACGGCCCCCAAACATCCCCAAACTAGTTTCGACCTACGGGCTGGTGAAGTGCAAACACACAAGGGAGGTGGGGCTCACGGATGTCCCAGCAATGCATAGGTTGAGGACCCATAGCTCACCGTGGAGGTTACCACGTTCCCCTTGGATCCGCTGGCCAGGTGCTACGGGAACACAAAGCCAGAGCAAGCGAGCGCAGTTACCCAGATGAGGGGCCTTGGGAACTAATTTGAGTAGTGGCCATGCGGGGCAGGGTTAATTGGAAATCCGCTGCTGAAGAGATGGGAATCCAGTGGCCAACTATGCCCCAATGCCTTGTTGCATGGGAGGAACCATTACTCTATGTGGCACTGCTCCTAAGTGTGCTCAGACTGGATATTAACTAAACTAAACCCATTGCTTGGCAGGGGTTGCGTGAGCGGTTGGGTCTGGCAAAGGTGCTAAATGTATGTAAATATATGTACATGTACGTACGTAAATGTATGTAAATATATGTAGATGTATGTAAATGTATGTTATGGTCTGGTTAAAGTATGTTTTAGGATTTTATACTAGTTATGTAGTTGTGTGTCTTTTGGTTAACTTTTTGAACGTTTTAATTCCAAAAGGTGGTGGGTTAACTTTGACCCCTGACAGTGATAGTGCTGTGCTGCGGGCAGTTAAACCATCAGGTGGGGCAACATGTTTCAAGGTTTTCCTTTGCAATGCTGAACATTGCCTCACTCATGTTTCGTAGGCTTGTGTTGTTCGGTCAGACATGGGCCGATCTTTTTTCTTCCAGAAAATTGGACATATTATGGAGATTCTTAGATCACTTCTTGGGTTTTCCCTGTCGTCGTTCTGCATAAGTTTCATTAGTTTAGCCGCGCTGAGCAAGCAACTCATTTGGGATGGCTACCGGAAATTGACAACTGGAGAGAGAGATTCGCCAGCTCCGTTTTGTTTGCATTTCCTTTCTGTGCCTTCCGAACACTTGTGGCAAGGTAAGTATCGACAAGTGTATTCAACAGTGTATTCTTCATTTTTGCCTTGTGGTTTACAAGTTAAGGGGCCTTCAGTTGTCCCAGCTGGCGCTTCTTGGTATAGATGGCTTGCGTACCCGGCAATTGTGCAGCGGACATCAATCTGTTGGTGGCTGAAAAGTCGTAACATGTCTTAACGTTTCATCGAACAAGTATGAGACATATATTATATAATCATCTACAAATGGGTCATGCAAATGAAAGTTCCAGGCTCCCCCATGCTAGTTTCAAGGTCACTCACTGCTTATCTATTGGTTGGTTTTCTTGCGGTCCCCCATGGCTCTTGACCTTGCAGCAAAAAAATTGGGCGTGCAGAAGCCCATGTTAGCCCAAGACAATCCAGCTCGGGCCAAGACCTGCAAAATACGGATCGTCGATGTTGAGCTTTGCAAACACGGTTAGCAACTGGTTCTGCTTGAATTTGTCGTGTCGGTTCTGCGTGGTTGTCCTCCGTTGGCATGCAATTATTACGGAGGGATTGAAGTAAAACCTGTTGAGCTTCGGTCCTGCAGCTCCCCCAACAGAAATGTGACGGTGCCTTGAACTCAAGAATTGAAACATGGCGCAGATTGGAATCTGCGCCGGCCTTGATTTCGCAACGAAGGCGAATTTCATGCATGGCAAAAAACGGGCTGGGCGGAGCAGTTGGCAGTCTGGGTTGTTGTCTTCTGCGCATCCCAAGTGAGGCGACAAATTTCGGTACGAGTGCCTTGAGCTTGAGAGATTTGGCCACACTCTAGGTTTTGCAGCGAGAAAGGTCACCGCACGTCAGTTTGGACGGGGTTTTTCTAGTATCACATCAAAAACTACTGTGCATCTTGTGCGATAGTGCGTCGCGCTTAAACTTGGAACCCCCAGGTTTGAATTGAAATAGTTATCGTTTTTTGTATGTTTCCGCACATTGATAGTCTAAATATCCACATGGGAGTGAGCCCGGGGTATCAGGAACAAGGCAAACATGTCAGCAAACATTGTCTCTTTTTTTGGGACAGGCGGGGCAATAGAGTTTATTGACTATTTGTCTGGTTTTTAGCCGTGGATTGACCGGTTGTTCCCAAGTGTTTGGCTCTGACGCAAAATGTTGATTTTGTCCATGTAACGACTTCAAAGGAAAATTTTGTCTACTACATTGATGGGTGCAGGTTTTTTTTTATGTGGCTTTGCGTGCTGAGCCTCCAAACGATCGAATCACCAATGGACATTACTGAAAAATTGGGTGCTCCTTCATTGCCCCCTTGTAAGACCGACACCCATGGCATGGGTGATGCGATGCAAACATGGGAGATCTAAGCTGCGAAGGTTGATTTCCGCTGTGTTTTCATGCGACCGATTGCTCGTTTGTTTTTTGTTTTCAGCTACAGAGTTCACAGCGCCCCAAACTATACGGTTTAGATTGTAATTGCCCGCGATGGTTTGTGGTTTAATCCCAGCAAACAGGCGTTCCGGTACATCTACATATTCTATCCAACGGCGAATGGTTCCCACGTCAAATAATCATTTCTTCGGCCAAATTAGGTTTTTTTTTGGCCTAGTTGAATGCGGTGTCGCCAGCGCAATCTGTCGCAATTTCTTTCTGCATTTCATCCGCTCCTGCAATGTTGAGGCGTTTCAGGGTTTCAACTTGCACAATGAGACCCAACAAATTACCTGACATGTCGGGATTGCGCGTTGCGGTTGGTTTGTTCGCCACATGGAAATTTCTGCCAGCGTCGATAGGTTGGAAAGGCAACTTGCGGCCTTGCGAGGGGAAGAGGTGCCGGCGCTGGCCCGGCAGTGCGAAACCGTGGCTGCCATAAACAACTACCAGGATGGTTATACCATGTTATACCGTACCACCCGTAAGAATGGTGATTTGGGGCATGGTTTATGGCATTCGGTTTACCACATCATTGATAGTAAACCAACCAGCGAAATATGGGTGATATGCACCCGGTGATGTGTTCTGAAATAAGGAAATATAAAGCAGGTTTCCAAGAAATGTCTTTGCGTATGCCATGTTGTTGATTCAACTCCCATTTCCAATTGGAAAATATTGTAATCTGAACATGTATGAAGTCATTGTGGACATCCAACAGAAAAAAATGTAATTTCACATTTGAATTGCAGATTCCTTTGTGCAGCTGGGTGACGACAAAATATGCCCAAAAAATATGCCGTTCGTGATTTGATGATCTTGATGTCCCAATCACCCAAAATTCATAGTTGGTGGAGACAGTAACTGAGTTGTAATAAATGGCAAAGCCGTGAAATTACCTTGTCTGAATTTTCAATTTTGGTTGAACACTTTGGGACTGCTATTAAAACTTATTAAATTCAAACAAGAGTGGTTCGATCTTGGGTTGCCATGGTTCACTCTCTTGGGTTTGCCATTTTCGGTAGTCCACCATCCAATTTTTGCCGAATTTCGGCCGAAGAAGTAAACAAACTGTATTCAAATATGGATCGTCGGCAGACAACTTAGGTACCTTGGTTTTCACACCAGCATGATCTGCAATTTATTGGATGCAGTCCGAAAGTGCAGAGTGTCCCTGGGGATTCATGAAGACTGATCACTGTGCCCCCCGGTCCTCGAACTTTTTGGCTCAGGGGTGTGGCTGTGTTGTGAATCATGATGACGGGACCATAATTGGATGGTAAGGGGGCAAACTTTTCAAGTGGTGAGTCGCTAAAACCTACCAGATCCATGGTCCATGACATCAAGGTTGTTTCTGTTGGCGTAAACATCTAGCGTTGGAAGCCGATTGTGGAAACAATGTGGTGGATGCAAGTGAAAGGACAGGTGGCTTGAATGGGCTACCCAAGCTCACTTTTTATGACTTGATGGTTCATCAATGTTCATCATTTTTCCGAAGCACTAGATTCACTAGATCATATTTTTTGCGAAAAAACGTTTGCCCGTTTATATGATCAGACCAACCTCCATCGTTCCCAATGAAAATTCCCACAGTGTGAAGCGCACAGTTGGTTAAGTGATGTGGATGGTATGTTAAGTGCATTTAATAAAATTTAAGTGCCCAACAGAGCCAACCAAGAAATGACAATTCATGATGCTTATCACATCTTATAACGCTTTAACAGGGACTTGCAGGGGGTCCCGGTACGATGGGCATGACGTTGCTGCCCAGTTTTCAGGAGTTGGGAGATCTGAGTGAAACCCTGGGGGGTTTCCACAGTCATGGGGGTAGCCCAATAGCTGGATGGTCAGTGGAAAATCCTGTTTTTTTAATGGATGAAAATCGATGATTTAGGGGTATCCCCCATTTTATTCTTGAGTCATTGTCATTGTTTACATAGATCCCTCTTTTCTGGGCGCTCCAAGTAACCCAACCTTGGACCTTTCACATGGCGTAGTCGTAGTGGATTTTGAGGCGTGCTGGTAGAACCCTGGCTCTTTGCTAGTGTTGTTAGAAGGGTATCCCAAGATTTGATTCTGATATATTTCCACCAGCCTTGAATACGATTTTGGATCTTTATCTGTCATTGATGGACCGACTAGATTTGATATCCCACTACTGTAGAGAGTCATTTTGATCCCATCCAGCGATCAGAAACTCACGCTCTCTCACGCTCAGTCGATGAGTATGAGAAACATTGGACTGGCAGTGTGGATTACCATGTTTTTTGGGGGGAAACACCAAAATTCCATTTTTGGAGGTCACATCCTGCTGGGGATCACAGTTGCTTCATGTCATTTCCGCCATTTGCTCAAGATCCTGATGTGTTGTCGCTTTCTCATGCTTTCTCCTTTTTTTGCTGACTGCACATAAAATTTTAAAGAAAAAGATACTTTGTCGCTGAAATTGTGACCTAGCACCATGTTTAGCAGAGCCGAAGACCCGTATTGTTGGTTTCTCGGTTGCTTTCAAAGACATCTTTATGAGTGGCAACCTTCCCATTTATTTCTCAAGTTAAGCCAGTTGGAAGTCCAAGTTCCACGAAATCCACAGTTCCATCATTTTTTTTATTGGCTGTATGACCATTGTTCGTCGAAACTACCCATTTCTTGAGAATCTTGGGCGGTTGACTCAAGTTGGACCATTTTTCTTGGACCATCTTTCCTGGCGGCTCTTCCCCTTTTTGTGTTGAATTTCAGTTGAATCAATTTCGCATCTCAAGCTAGCCTCTGATAAACTATTCCTTAACTATGGAAAACATCACCATGGATTTTTGGGGGTAGGCCCATTATCAATGGCCATTAGTAGAGGCCATCCATCATCCAACATCGATGTTTTTGTTGGTTGAATTCCCCCGTCCCAGGAGAGCGAGGAGATCTCCGTCACGGTGGCCTTGCTGAGTGGCGAGGCACAGCCAGCGACGCAGGAATGGGAGGGAAAATGTCGCAGATGTATAGATCCATAATCAAAAAATGTCAAAAATCAATAGTAATAATCCCTTCCCCCTAATATTCAACACCCCCTTAGAAACCATGGTTTTTAGTAGGGATTTTCCACATAATTGGGACCATTTAGGTGGTGTGTACTAGTAATATATAATAGCTGCATATATATATATCCAGATCCATATCCAATCAGTAATATATATATAGATCCAGATCCATAATCAATAATCAATAGTGATAAATAGATATATATATATATATAAACAATCAATATAGACATATATATATATAATAGATCCATAGTCAATGATCAATAATCAATAATCAATATATCCACTTAGTTAGTAGTAGACAATACCAATATATATATAGTAGACAATAGTTGGTAGACAATGCATAATCAATTTCATCAGTCCATATACGCAGATCTAAGAATTATAGAATTATAGTAGACAGATGACCGACAATAATAGATATGATAGTGTAAATGATTGCAAATGATTGTCAATGCTTTCCGAAATATAAACAATCCACTTTTATAACTTTGGATAAATTTGTACATTGATAGAATTCATAGAATTGTTGTTTCGGTAACAAGTTGTATTCATATATATGTATATATTCTAAATAGATCGTATAATTTAATATATAGTGTATATAAAATTAATAACTATTCTATATATGGGATAATATTTGATATCATGGCGATATACAGTCTACGAGTTTAAGATATATCTTGATATTGTTTAATGAGATAGCAGATAACAGATAACACATATTTGAGAACCATGGGATAAAACAACAATGAAATAGAACAATAATCAGTGGGATACAGTGAAATTCTGGATGTTTTTTTGGGACCTGGATGAATCATCACTGGAATGGTGCGGCTATGTCAGGTTGGTGCATTGTTGTACACGAATTTATCCAGAAAGATTGGTAGATATGTGCCAGTGCCAAATTTGAGGCTCGGTTCGACATGGATCATGACCCCATGAGCATTTTCAGTGGGATGTATCCCCTGACTGGATGACTCTGTGATTCCAGCAACATGTCAGGAGATATTTCAAGGACCCCAAAACACTGCGACCATATTGCTCTGGAATATTCTGAATCAAAATATAGAACAATGTCCTCTAGTCTATACAAGTACATACAAGATGATCACTGGCTCAGGTTTACCACTTCAACCGTCGATGTGCGTCCAAGATTATTTCTTGGGTCTCAATGTCCCTAAAGCTTTTGTATGGAGAGGGACACTCCTTAGAGGGACATTCCATATAGATCATTGCAGTTCCAAATGATTCCAGATAATTCAATATAGTTTTTTTAAAATATATATTATTGTGTTTGTTTATTTTTCTTGAACTTTTAGTATTTTTTAAGTTTTTTTTTGGAACTTTTGAGACATTTTTGGACCTTTTTGGAATTTTTGGATGGGATATTGTTTGGAACTTTTTGTTTTTTTTTGATTTGATTTTTTGTGAACTTTTTGGAATTTCCTGAGCGTTTTGGACTAACTAACCCGTTTTTGGAGTAACCTAGGCTCTTTAATGACTAAACTTGGATCTGTTTGGTGCCGCGGCAGCAATGGAAGCTAAAAAAAACATGTGCGTCTCTATTTCTTTTTCACGCTATGCAGCCTGCATTGCTGCTCTGGCTTGCCTACCTGGTCAATGAACCGGTCGCTGCCACAGCCGACCAGCAGTGAGGGGGACAGTGATCATCATCATTCATGACTACGCGTGAGCAACTGTGTCTATTTGAGAGGCAATCGCAGAGCTGCAGTCCCTCGCCAGCCGCGAGATCGAATCGCGAAGTTGGCGAGGGATAGCATCTCTGGCGCGCTTTGAGGCATGGTGCTGATTGCTGCATGGCTGTTTTGATCAACATGCTTCTGGTCTTACTTCAGGATGGCAAGCTCTGCCAAGGGGTCATGGACATAGACGCCATATATGTGAAGAAGCTGCTGCGCATTGATAAAATCTAATGACTAATGTTGACAGGTGCGGATTGTGATGCCTCTATCTGCACTGGACGGGACCATGTGGGAAAGCTTGCGCTGCCATGGGCTGGCTGGCTTCCCAACTAGAAATGCAAAGGACACATGTCTGATGCACTAATGGAACACCAAAACCTGAAGCATCAGTGTGCTATACTTGTGACAGCTTCAAAAAATGAAAGCATCAATGTGCTTTTTGGCTTAAAAATGAAAGCCCTAAAGGCTGCTTATGTAAAAACTACATTATATTATGTTAGTTGTGCCAAATAGTAAACCAAATTAATATGAAAATCTGAAAAGTAAAAATATACTACTGTAGGTTCGTTCAAGTTAAGGTTCTGAATTGAAATGCCAACTGTTTGATTTCCAATTTAAATTTCTGAATTGAAATGGTGACTGTTGGGATGATTTC